AATATTATAGTGAGCAAACCTGCACCTGCAAGTTTGACTAATAGCCTGAAATCTTCTGTAATGTCTGTGAATCATAATTTAAAACATTTAAATTTTCTTAATCAGCATGAATTCTTAGTAAGACCTTTACCCAACTTTCTCCCACGCTTCACACTCTTTTTTTCTCCCCATTCATACTCGCCTACTTAGCCTATGAAGCATTACCCTTAGCATTTATCATTTTTGTCCATGCTACAGGCAATGGTGACAGAAAAGAACTGGCCATGTATTTTTCAAAACTCATCAGGCAGCTCTGATCATTATGACAGATGGTACCTGATTTACCTTTCATTTTTGTTCACAGCTGTCTTGTATTACTTTAAAGACTGAGGTGAAGAGGGAAACATCCTCTTTTATGGCAATCGGTTTGAGCACACTCAGGGAAGAAAGTTCCAGATACTTTGGAGTGTGGCTGCCAGGAATGACTGTCAGGGAGCTGGGAGCCAGAACCTCCTGTAGAGGGACTGCTGTGAGGAGTAGGAATAAGCCAGTCAGCTACCAGCTATGGAAAAAGCTTCCCAGCAAGCAAATGGGACCAGGCAGGATTTGCTGCCCCTCAGAAACTCAGAGTTAACTCACTAGTGGCAGCATACAACCCCACCTGCAAGGCCAAAGTGGGCTGAAGTGCTTAGAAGCCTTCTATTAATTTCTATTCTATTTCTATGATATTCTGTAATTTCTATTAGTAGCAGCTTTGAGGTTGGGTTTTTTTTTTTTCCCTGTTTAAAAAAGAGAATTATTTTAGTTTGTATTCTAGGAAGACCTGACCTCTCTGAGCATAAAAGCCTTTTAGTCATCTTTGGGAAGCTTGCAATGGGAGAAAAAAATCAAAGCCCTGGAGTTGTGGCCAACACTGAACCCTCTCACAAGCGTCAGCACCACAAGAAGATAAAAGTTCTCATTTTCAGAGTGCTGGATTTTTATTCTGGGAAAGGCTTCTGTTACAGTATTACAAAATAGGCACTCACAAATTAAGATAATGAAAGCCACTTGTCACTTCTGAAAATTCTGTCTGTTCAGTAACTGCAGTGAAACCAAGAACCATCAAAATGGTTGATCCAAGTAAAATGGTAAAATCATAATTATTTTTTTTTTCTTCCTTCCTAGCCAATCAGGTATCTGCTGTGAGCTTTGTTAGGGTTGTTTGTTTGTTTGTTCATTATACTGTTCAGTTGCAGAATTGTAGAAGCTAGATTTACTCTGAGATTACTTGGGTTAAGATGTGGTAGCTTTTGGGGAGCCTTCTGTTTGCTTACATTTTGGTCGAGCTTTGCTTTTGGCTTTATTCCTGAAGCTGTTTTTATGCCAGCAGTGCTTGCTACAATGTCCATTGCAACCCCTTTTCCAATTCTGGTGCACATGGTGAAACGGTAAAAAATGAGAGATTTTAGTTGAAGAATAAAATCAGCTCTTAAACCAGAAGAAAAATCTGCCCTTTCCTGTCGAAACCTGGTCCACGTGCTTCACCCAGAGAAGTGTGCTAGAAAGGGATTTTCCCTTAAATAACTATGTCAGCCTCAACCTTTTGTGCTGTTCGGTTAGGTACTCGCTCTGACAGAAAAATATGCGCAGATGCAAATGTGTGCCTTAATATGTGGGAACCAGATAAAATTAGAGCAAGATGTGGTTTCAGAGTAAGTAAAACACAGCACAGGCTTCTGTTTCAGGATTTCCTTTATCCACTGTTTTCCATCATCGCCCATGAGACTAACCATAAGAGCATGGCTACTCAAGTACCTAAGCATTTGCAAGCTCAGGCCTGATGATGAAAATCCCAGTTTCATGGAACAATAATTGGATGATAATTTGTGACTGTAGCAAAAAGGCTATTTTGAGTTTTACAACATAGTTGTTGCAAGTACAGATAGCCCTTAAATGAAAATTTTTTTCTTTCTCACTTCAATACCCAAACCAGTTTAGGTGCTTGAAAGCTTATTGTTTTGGTTTTTTTTAGGTTTTTTTGGTTGGTTGGTTGGTTTTTTTGTTTTGTTTTGTTTCTAACAATTGATCCCATAAAATATATTATCTCTGTCAGCTTTACTTTATGTTGACACACTGCTAATTATTTTAGTTGTTGTTCTTCCCTTCCTATTTGATACTTTTTTCTACCCTCGCCTCCCCTGGAAAACATCCTTCTTGTGTGTAGAATCTTGATGAAGCCCTAAACATACTGAAAACACTGCCTGAGTACTTTTTAGTAATATTTGTATTTTGATGCATAATATTTAGTCTAGCTTATTCCAGTTCAATGTAATCAGCTTTATTCTTAAATTTGAAAAAGGAAGCTGCTTTTTTTGTGGTAAGAAATATGTTTCTTTGAGTTCTTATATTAAAACAGCAAATTGCTTGACGGTTTTGGCCTTCAGTTTCACCCTCTGTGGAAGACAGAACAAGGAACTCTTTCCTTCCTGAGGCACATTTTGAGGACAGGCATTTTCACAGACTATGGTCTCTGCAGGACTGGAGCTTGCAATCCTTCTCGTTCACATACGCTCCTGCTGCACATCGCAGCAATAAGTGATGTTACAGAAGACAGGGGGAACAGATAAGCAGATCTGAATTAGAAATTATCAATTGTTCTAATCAGTGAAAGATTTCATTGTATGTTTCCCTTTTTTGGTCAATGTCCCTAGCAAAAGTAAACACATTTCATTAAACCGAGAGCTTAAATCAATGTAAAATAATGATGCCATACTAATGTCTCACCTCTCATTTCAACTTAACACTTAAAAAAGCCCAGACAGTTTGCTCACCTAGACAAACTACATACAGGGACACAGGCACTCAAGTCCCTTATATTAGACCAATGAACCATATATGGGTGTCAGGGACCAGAGTACACCAACAGGCTCTAATTGCTGTGACCTGCCTGTAAGGATGTTTCTCTGTAATCTCCTTCCTCTTTTCCCTCTCCCAGAGCAGGGAACATAGCATCATGACAAGCTGCAATTAAAGTACTACAGATAAAGGAATCATAGGCTGAAGGATGTGCTGAGAATTAGTTCATTCTGTAGACCTACATTTTCTCTTTCTCAAATATTTGCCTTTAAAACCACAATAATATTATATATTTTAATGGAAAAAATCCTGGTGAAAAAGGGAATTTGTTTACAGACACTTCCAGATAACAGTCTCAAAAGCAATTTAAGCTCAGAAGGAAATGACATTTTGCAGTGTGCAATTTATACTCTTCACTCCAGAAAAAAAGTTACAGAATAAAAATTACTTGCTGGCTCTGCCAAATAACTTCCTGATGAATGACCAACACTATAGGCAAGAGTACACTTTTGTTTCATTATTATCTTTTTCCTAATTCCTAAAGAATTCTCCCTTCATTTTAAGTCTAAATCAGCATTTCATTTCATTTCACAAACTGACATTTTCTGGTTTGTTTTTAAATACTATTTTATAACCTTTGTAATTGAAAGTATACTAGGTTTGTTAAAAATATTACCTCATTTTCCAAAACACAGAATCTGATGTATGTACTCTAGCATCTTATACTGAAGTTGTTGGAGCTTATCATCACAACTGTCAAGCTGTCATGCACTTGAAGTCCAAGTCAATAACCAGCCAAGCGAAAAGCTGTTTGACTTAAAAGCATAGATAAAAAATAGCCAGTATATTTCTAGTGCGGAAATATCATAAACCTTCCTCCTTTAACCTATGAAAACCACACACACACACACACACCCCCCTTTCACAGGCAAACAAGTGCTATAAATGCAAAAAGCATAAAAGCACTACGGATGAAATACTGCCACAGTATTCTGTTTCCATGGAGTGCTTCAGCACTTCACACAGTTGAGGTGAGCATATCCTTTCTTTTTCCTCCCCACACCCCCCAAATCTTTTCCTACATCTCCTTCTGTTGGAGGGAGGCTAATATGGAGGACCAGGCGTTTCCACAGACAATTTGTGGCTTGCTGTTCTGCCTTGTAATTTCATAGCTCAACGCTACTCTATTCTGCACTGACTTCTGTTTCACCGTGCTGATTTCTCCCCTGGGGCCAGGAATCCCCATTCCTCCCTGTGGCTTCGCTCTCACTGTTTCTAATCCCACTAGTCTGACCCTGGGGCATCTCCTTAGGCTCAGCTCAGCTTCATGCCCTGAGGTCATGAGTCATTTTGGAGATGGCGGTTTACATGCAAAAGGAGCTATGTGTAATTTCGGATTTCATAGAAGAGAGTCATCTCTCCTTTACCTCCCCCCGTAGTGGAGTCACACACACAGGTGTGTCATCTCTTGCAGGTGGATGGCATTCATGGCTTAATCACTCCTCTCCTCCACACCTCTCACTCCTCCCTTTCCCAGTTTGCAGAAAATAGGAATTTCCTTTTGCCCTCCTACTGCATGATAAAAAGCAGCTTGCTATTTCAGGGGAGAGGAGGGAAACCGAGAGGGAAACCTAGAACAAGTTTCTGTCATACTTGTTAACCGCTGCTTCACTGCAAGCAAAGACGACCATCTTAGCAGGTGGCTTACAATTTTCTGTTTGTAATACCACAGAAGCATAGGTTTGAATCATCGTTTTTCTTCTTCTTTCTTCCTATTTATCTAAATGCCTTTCTGACACCCCGAAGATCTTTGGCCCCGACACCTCTGCTCATCCTCAATTAAATCAGAACTACCAAACACAACAACCTAAAGAAATGTCGGTGCTCTTGGGATGTACAGTTTTGTGGATCTGTGTTATCCAAAAGGCACAGCTGGCTACAGTGGGTGGCACTTTGGATAATCAGTGGGGTTAGTTGACCCTTTAAAGCACTATAGAACGTATCTTCTCACTCAGTCTTCCTCATAACAGTAAGCAGCTGTATCAGGGAAAAAAAAATGCGTAGCAAGTTCATTGCATCATTTCAGAAATCAAAAAGTTTCATGCATAATCAAGTCACCCAGGGAACATCCCCTGAACGTTCTTTCCTGGCAGATAAACATTGCAAAAGCAGACTGCATTTACCTTAAGGGAACACAAAGTTCTGTGACGGTTCGGACTCTCTTGGGCAATGGGTTCGGGGTCCTCGCACAACTGATTAACATTCTTCTCTATCAGATTCCTTATTGCAACATCAAGCTCTTTACTTTCACACCTGCTTGGAAAGAAATAGCAATGTTAAACTTTACACCAACACTTGAAGCGCAGAGAAGGTAAATTTGTCAGCTGTCTTCTGAATGTGACAATGCAGACAGCAGAGCTAGTCCTGCACCGAGCTCCTGCTACCTTCCTCCCTGCTATGCAATCAGAGGGCATTACAGCAGTGTCACACAGGCAATCTCCAAGTGCTTTGTGCCAGAAATTCATTTAAAATATTTAAACAAGCAGTCTTCATGAATTTTACTTCCTTGTGTCTACAAAGTTGAAGTCAACCCTTTTGGGAATTATATGAAGACTGTCATGTGCCCTCAACCCCACCCACCCAGAGTTTCAAGAATTTTATATTCAACTTCAACAAAAATGCAATCAAAATGGTTAAATTGGTTTTGAATTCCAAAACTAGGTGCTCAGTTCACAAAAGCTTTTTGATGGCACATTTTGTTTTCTGTAACACTTCGTAATGCATTTTCAAATCTTTTTTCCTGAAAGGTCCTTTTAAAAACATTCATATCTTATAAAAATTGCTCTGTTGTGAACACTAAAATGATATATGTTTGGTGGGAAAATTCTCTTCTTTCAGTCTCTCTGTTAAGGACACACAGGACTTAAGGCACTTAAGGGCTTGCTCCAAATTCACAGAACTAATTAGCGATTAGGGCTGATTCACTTGAGACACCGTAATGGTGAAATGTGACTTTCAGAGAATGGACTGAGGCATAATTAAAACAAACCCCGAAGAGCCCTAGACCCAACCCAAGTTTTCAAGAAATACTCATGTCTTTTGCAAGCTCCGACCTTCATTTCCTAATCAGCTTAAATCAACACTAAATGTAAGTAATGCACGACCAGAAAGCAAACTGCAAGGCTCAAAAGGATTACCAACCTGTTATAACAAGATTACTTCTTGATTTAGGCAGAAAATACTAAATTCTTCATTTGAACTACCAGAAAAACTGAAAGCAGTAAGAATTTATCAGTTATACTTATTGCAGTTTAGACAGGCAATCCACAAGGATCACATTGCCGGTTCTGAGGAAACTCTTGGAGGGCAATTGATAAAATTATCCAATAAACAAACCCATCTATCCAAATCACAAGAGTAAATAAGTCTGGCGAATTTCGTGCTGATAGCATAAAATGATTCATTTTATTGTCTGTATTTACAACACAGAGACTATAACAGAAATGTATTTTCACTTAGCATGAATGCAAAATCATTTGCAGAGGTACTACAATAAAATACCTACAGTAGCAAATAAGGACAAGTAAAACTCAAGTGGTTTTTTTGTTTGTTTTTGGTTTTTTTTTTTTTTGACTTGCTGCCTAGTAGTTGGACAAGCTGGAATTTCATGGCAGTTTCAGAGCTACCGTGAAGCCAGCCTGCACCAAATAAAAAAAAAGTTTCATGGCAGAAACAAGATATTTGGATGTGTTTTGAGAGCTAGACCTATGATATAGGGAAATAGGACTTTTACACAAGGAACCAAGACCAGGGCTTTTTAGCGCTGGAAAGTCCTGAGGCACTAGAACACATCACATAATTTTTCTTCTCTGCAGAAAGATATTTCTTCGTGCTAAGCTTTTGCTTTTTTTTTTTTAAAAAAAAACAATATAGCAACTAGTGTGAGTTCAAAGAAACAGAGTACCCAACTGAAGAGAGTATTGTCTTTTGTTAGACCACTTTAGCCATAAGTCCCTTTTAAAGCCATGACGATTAAGAGAAAGACCTTCTCGATGCAGATTTTCACGAGCCTTACGGCGGTGCAGCAAACTGCAGCTGCTCTGAATGCTCGTGGCAGTTTTCAAAGCCTCAGCTGTGTGTGGGTGGCAGGTGAGCCCCAGCAGCATAGGCGCCGTGTGGCAGCTCGTGAAGAAAACTACAGAAGGAAAACAACGAACCTTGCAAAAGAAATCCAGCCCTTCTCCGTCTTGCTAAATATTGCAAAATCCTGGATAGACCAGTGTGAGTGGCATTTTTTCTTTTTTAAGCAGCTCTGTGCTAAGGTTCCCGGGCAATAAATTCTCCAGCAGCAGCATGAACAAGCACTCTGCTTATAGCCTTCATTTTTAATCAGATACATAATGCAAACTTTGCAACATAAGTAGCAACACCCCTTTTCTCTCAAGTGCACTTCCCTGGAAAACAGCATCTTCAGCTCATTTGGACTCCCATGCCTGACCCAGCCTGAGATTGCTTTGTATAACAGAATTGAATATGCACTGTGGAGAGCACTCGGTGCTTCTGAGGATGCTCAGGAGAGTCAAAAAGCCACAGCACAGAAGCAGTCACTCGTAATGCAGTTTTAGGAAAAGTGCATTAAATTATATTTACATAGTAAGGGAGAAATTATCACTGCAGCCTCCTTAGAGCCCCTAGAAATGTGGCAAAGGGAAGGGAGAGGTTAAGTAAAGTGAGGTGAAACGTTACTGAACAGTACTGAGGGATTTAAGACAGAGCTGCTAAAACCACAGGCCGATATTTTCAGACTTAGCTTTCAAAAGATCATTTTTTTTATCTGTCCTTAGGCAACGAACCAAAGGTAGGCTAGTTGCTCTCCTCTTTCCTTGCTCCACACACCTCCTGTGTGAGATCAGTAGGGAAACCAGCTTACTGCTTAGCTGAGAGAACAAACTCTGGCCCTGCACGTGGCTTCTGGTAAAGAGTATTTTGCTCATTGCCCAGGGTTGCAGTCGCACATCCTGCTCCAGCTGCAGCAAAGTCAGCCAAAGAGTTTACCTCCTCTACAGTCCCAGCCACTTTCCACCTTCACTGCCTCTCCACTGCAAATTATCATCCTCAACTGCCAGCACAACCCACTCACCTGGCTTGGTCAAAGTAGTCAACATTTCTTAAACTCTTTTAAGTCAAATAAAGCAGCTTAGACTAAAACAACCATTCAAAATAAAGGAGCGATGACTAGGTGCAGTCCTGAGGACAGTGAAAGACAGGCAGCAATCTCTGGCAAGAGTGCAGCAGCAAGTATTTAGGCAGGCTGCACTCATCTCTGCTGCTGGTTCAGCCACAGCGAGAGGAGATGTGTGACCACAGCCTCCCGAGATCAGAGCGCGAATCAAGCTGGGAAATACCCCATAAAGATGGTGGGTTGGCTTTCAATACTTCTTTTCAGCCAGGAAGTGTTCATTCCTCTGCTCTGCTCCCCATAGTTTGTCTGATGCTGTGGCTGTAAATCATGTTCACCTCTGGCTGCTCCCACCCTGTCTCTCTGCTTTCTCCTTTCCAGGCTTAGGAGTACCTGGGCAAGAGCAGGAACCAGCTGTGCCTGCGTAAAAGAAAGGGAACTGCAAAAGACTCAAATCCCTACAAATTGATCGCTACTCTGTAATATCCATTTGTTTTGACATCATCACAAAAGTCAGAAAATTACTTCATTGGCTGGATTTCTCAGTGCATTTGGTTTTCCCTCAGTTTTTAGACTAAGGTTTTCTGACCAGAAACTATTACTCCATTTATCTGTATTTTAATATTAGCCACTTTGATAATTGGAAGGATATATTTATTGTGATGGAAAACGTTAATCATATCTGGGGTATAGATCCATTTTACAGTCTGGACTTTCAGAGCACACAGATGATCTGAGTGCTTGAATACGTCTTCAAGATACTGGTGATTAGGAGCTACCCCAGAACAAGACAGTTCTTGATGATTACCTGAGCTTCCCCTGGTGATCTCTAGAGGGCACACAGCATTTAGCTTCTGCAGAAAGCAATTTCTTCAAACCACTTTTGGTTTTGTGAAGTTCACAGGTACGTTTCTGCACCATTAATACCCTTGCTGTTCTACACTGTTGCCAACACTTTCTAAAATTAGGTATTTCAGTTTTTAATAACTAAATTATGCAAATAGGCAATCTGTTAGGAAAAATCAGAAAAATGAAATCCATTCAAATTTGGGAGATACAGTTTTTCATGTTTTGTAAAACCAATCATCAGAGAATATTAAAAGCATTTTCATGTGGTCATATGGGACAAAGTATATCCCTTCTATGTGCAAAAGCTTTCTAAACTATATGAAGAGACATAAAATACACAACTCATCCTCCTTACATAGCATGCTATGATTAATGCAGAATCCAATAAAAGATTAGAGTATTAACTCCTCTTTGTAAACTTTGAGTTAGTTGCTAAATTTCCTTTTTTGGGAAAATTAAGACATTTCACACGGCAGCAGAACCTACAGATGTAATGAAGGGAGCTGGTCTCCCAGCATACATTTTAGCAGCTTGCAGGAAAAGGAGAGAGCCCAACCTTACTCATAATTTCCATGTCATATCTGAAAAGTTGCAGCCAATAACCTCTAGCCATGTCCTCCAAGAATAAGAAATTAGGTCTGTCCTCTTTGGTTTACAAGTTGCCATATCCATGCAGGATTACACTGCTAGAGACTAAATGCGTACCACATTAAAGGTATTTTCATTTCTCCCACGCATTCTCCTAGCTGCCTTTAAAATGGTTTTCACTTTTTGCTCTATGGTACATCTTTGCATCACTTCAATTTCTAGGCTCTATCAGCTTTTTGTAATGAATTATGTATAAATGGTTGCATACTATTTACAGCAATTCAGTTTTTTAGCCAGGAGTCAGAACAAAAATTGTGCCCAGCACATGCTTTGTGTGTGAATGGGACTGAAATTCCTACTAAATAAATAATGCTGGTAAATAAACCATGCTGATCTGTCTGCCCTCACAGGGTTAGGCAAAGAAGTGTTGGTTGTATGCTCACAGGGAATTTTATTAAATTATACGTGTAACTGAGCCAGAGCAAAACCTGTATTTGGCCCAAAACAATCACTAAAGCCAGAATATGATGGCACCAAAAAGGAAGCATGAGGTGTGGACACCAGCAGCTTCTAATAGCATCAAGGGCACTCCTTGCAGTCCATCTTTTCCTGGTCAGGAGAAGCAGCAGAAGAGGGAACAACTCCCACTAATATGCATTTTCATAATGGAGCAGCAACCAGTTCAGCTCCTGGTGCCCTGCTCCATGCTCTTTTGATGAGTCACATGCTTTGGGCTTGTAGCAGCATAGATTGATGGCCAAGAAATATATATATTTATCAAACAGCCAGGTACAAGCCCCATGCAGAGTCCCAGCTCTGCAGCTGGTACCATTTCTGAGCTCTTGGCTCTCCCTGGTTTTCACTGGACACTGGCATTATTACTCACTAATAGCAGTTATGTGGCAACAATGGACATACCTACAAAATGTCCCAAGGCATTTATTGCAAAATATTAACACCAAAGGCATGTAACTCTATTTGAAATAATAATTTCAGGGCTAGTATGCTGGGATCATTCTCCTGTGATTGGTGAAAGCACAAATACACACCATAAACAATTGTGATAAAAGGTTTTAAGCCAGGATTTACAGCCAGACCCCAACGCCACGGAGTCATATTTTGACGGGAAATGAATTCCAGAGTCTAGGGCTTAAACACATGCTTCATCCCCTTGGGTGGGCATTTGGGACGTAGGATTCTTGCTTGGCTAAGCCTAAGGACCAGATCCACAGAAAGAAATACATTTCTGCATTTGAATTATGGACGATGAACTGCTTCGGATAAATTAAAAAACGTGACAAATTTCAAACCGTTTCAGCTAATATTTCCCCTACTAATGATAATACACTTCATTTCAGAAAGAGGCCTTTAGAATATAGGAGAGAATCAGACCTGGATTACAGAACATTTAATTTATACTAGAAATAGACTTAAAATAGAAATAAAATTAGACATATAATTCTTAAAAATGATAGTTTATCTGTAGAACTAGCCTATTCTTTTATGTTCCGTATGATTTTACGGGATTTTCGCTCTTTTTAAATTCAGTTCTGTAGAATTCTTAGATTTTTGTCATGTAAATACATAGGGATTTTTATATTAAAATCTTATCCAGTTAAGACCAAATAACAAAGAATTTCCAGTCCAACAAGCAATGGGAAGAACAAAATTTTGCCAAGTAAACAAAAAGACTTTTGTTACAGAAAAAAATTTTTGCAGCCTCATGAGCTCTCACAAGTTTAGTAGATTCTGAGCTGATAGAGAATAGTTACAATGTGGTGCAGCTCCCTAAGGATCAGTGGTGCTATTCCAGTACTCAACACCCAGCGAGCGGATCTCCGCTCAGAGTTTAGGCTTGGGAATTTGAGCCAGATCTCCTGAAATTGAGCTCCACTAGTTCTATGTCCCACCTCACATGTACCACCATAAAAAACAGTTTATTGGGCATAAAGTGCACTGTGCTGGTACAAACACAAAAAGAACACCTGCCTTTGACGATTATAAGGATATACTTAAAAAGAAAGTTGAAATAAAAAAGCAACACAACCACATTATTTCAAATTATTTCCAACTTAATTTTTTAACTCAAGTTTCACAAAAAAAAAAAGAATCACCCAACATTTCAAAAGCATAGCTGGAAAGCCAGCCACCAGCAGCAGCTGAGATCCACCTAGCTGAACTGCATTGTCTTCGGAGTGAGATGTCCCAGACGTTGCAAAAAAAAGTGCTGGCACTGTCGCTTGGGAGGTTAAGTGTGAGATTAGCAATAATCTCACTCCAGTCCCAAGAAGAGAGCTCCATAAGGCAAGGTGTATGATAGGGGTTAAAACATGTATGTGCAACTGCAACTATAGCAGAGAAACCACTTAAACTTTCGCTCAAATCTGATGTAGCCAAAACATCTGCCTATCACCCCATAAACGTCCCTACACTTCTGTTCCCTTTACGACAAAGGAATGGAGCTTTTAAGGCACATTTAATAGCCAGCAGCTGTTTGGCTGTCAAATGCCACATCTGGAGAAGCTGTGTGCTGTTAATGTGAACAGAAACAATTATTCTTTAATAGTTTTGCTTAATTTTAAGAATTACACAAATCACAACAACAGAAGAGGTGCATGTTCTTAATGGAAACACATCTGGTTTCTCTGAAAATAAGCCAAAATAAAAAAGGCCCCAGTGATTAATTGAAGCTGCACCTAGAATCTGTCCCATCTCAGTGAAGAGAGAACTAAAGCTACTGATACACAGGCACTTAGTGCCTCCCAGACTTTGACTATTCCCCTCAACAAATATGCAACATGCAAGAAGATGACGACTAGCTGGTTTGCATTAAATGGCATGTTACTTATCACACAGTGCTGCTCCCCTTCGTGCCTGGAGGTTCCTGTCCTTCGGGACTGGGTTTCAATGCTGCCGCCTCACTTCTGTACCCTATACAGCCTGCACGTCAGGAAAATAACATCAGCCCCCTTTTGCTTGGATCTTCTGCTTAATTATACTACCAAGACTGCAACTGAATTTCTTCCTGATGGATAGCATTTGGGCTGAGTTCAAACCTCAGGAAAGCCAATTAAATTATTTTCACCAACTTTCTCAGGCTTTAAATGAGCCATGAGCGTCTTACAGATGACTGTCTCTCTGGAGAAGCAGTAAATGGAGCACTGTCACCCAGACTTATCACCCAGGACTCATGTAGCTGCGTGTGGATCACTAGTGGAAAGGGAATTGAAGTTTTGCCATGAAAATCAATCAAACAGAAAGCTCTGCCAAGCACAGCCACCAAGGAGTGTGTGCTTTCTGAGCAAATGAATTCCCCCACTGAAATGCACACATGCAGAAAGCTGGTGAGAGATGGCAGGAAAGTGTTGAAAGAACTGAAAACTAAGAGTTAAACAACAAGAAGGAAGACAAGTCTAGATGTTTTCAAGTGCTTGCTCTTTTTCTGTGAAGACCAAGAGCTAGAAAAGCTTGCACCCCTTTTAGGACACTCTCCTAGACTCAGCCTTTTTGAAATGGTTCCCCTCCCATGGCCCTTTCTGGACTGGCTGCTTGCCCCACAGCTACAGCTTGACTGGCTGCTCACTCCGCAGATACAGCCTGAGCACCACGAGTCTATTCAGATCTTACGTGTAGTCATTTCTGTGGAAAGCTGTGATTCTGATGTAATTACATGGTTGTCATTTTTAGCTGGTACTTTACACCACTATTCTTTCTTTTCCCAAATCAGGCATCACCACAAACAGAACAAGACCTACGCACAGCCCATTTTGCCTCCTAGTTCAGCCTTGGCCAGGATTTGGATGCGTCACCAACCCCTTACTGACCTGGGCTCACAGCTGGGCTGCACCCTTGGAGGAAAACAAGTCTGTGATTCATTTGGGTCAGTGTCTCCCACACAGACCTGAGATATTTTCAGTGATCTGCTAACAGCACAAGTAGAATAAAAAGATGAACACCATTTGGAAATGCAGCCAGGAAATTTAATATACAGTAGCTGACAGAGGACAACCAGCTCTGTTAAGTCAAGCCAACTTCTTGCCTGTGCTGGCTGTTAGGCAGCCAAGCTGAAAGGCAGAGGAAGCTCGCTGCATGGCTGTCTGCGTCACTGGTTCAGGGCTTGAACTGTCAGAGACTGGCATACCAGGGATACCATTGCCAGACAGGAACGTGGTGCCTCCCTCCCTTCACAGAGACAGGCTGGAGTCAAACTACACAAGCAGCAGCTCACAATGTCTTGAATAAATGGGAAATCCCAGTCCACAAGGGATTTCAAATCCAGTTATTTCACAATAAACTAACCTGAGAAAAAAATGCTTCTCACAGGAAGAAAGAAGGGTAGGGTATTATTTCTTAAGCTTCCCCAAACAATCTACAGTTATCTTAAAACAATTTTTCTTTTTATCTCTCTCTCAAATCCATGCACTATACTTAATACTTTTAAAGCTACCTTTTAATCACTCAGCTACCTCGAATTTTTTTTTTTT